TAATCTAGAGCTGATGTGCTCTAGACAATGCAATTTTCTGAATCAGCACCCCAAATAACCCCAGGAACAGGCCTAAAAACGAAAACACCAAGATGCCCCCACTTCTAGGCGCCACATGGAATTGGTCACTTATGGGGAGGGAGGAGGAGAAGCAGTCAGGAGGCTTGTTGTTGCACCTTTTGTGGGTAGTCTACTTTTCCCCTCCCGACATCCCCATTGCCTCGGCACTATAAGAGGGTTTCGTGAGACCAGTTGCTCTCGTTGCAACGGTGTAGTAACTGTGAGAATCATATTTTAGTTCTTGTGGACCACTGCTGGTCTATGGATTACAGGTTGGGAACCACTGTCCTAGTCCATTGCAAGTAAACTAAAAGCTGTTCTGTACCAGCAGCAATCCCTGAAACTGTACCAGATATTACGCTGGTCCACTTGGACTGTAAATGGACAGCTATGGCAAGATCCACTCAACCTGGAATGGAACTGATTTACTTTATCAGCCTCTTCCAGGGAAGCCTAGAGTTGTGCTGCCACTCTAAGGCCTTATTTAAAAGAGGAAGGTTAGAAACAGTCCAGTAGGAACATAGTGTGTTCAGATCCAGTGATGTCTTTTTTAGCAAAGGTCTTACAATGGCTTCTTTGGGAGGAGCCAGGGCGTAATCCTCTTTGCACCATACAAATGACCAAACCTCCTCCAGCAGCTGTTATCAGTCATGAGGGACACTAACGAACAAGCTAAGGGTCTCATTCACACCTTCAGGATGAATAAACTGAAATGCCATTGTAAATTGCTTTAAATAAAACAAACAAACCCATCCGTCAATATGATTGCTTCAATTATCACAACAGAATTTCCACTCAAGGTAGAATCCAAGTTAAAGCATAGGTCAGGGAGGGCATGAACAATTTTCTCAGCAAAGTGTTTGGCACTTTCATTACAACGGGTTTCTCAATGCTCCTTCTCATTACCTTAGGTCTCAAATGTAATTGCCCTTTAAAACACCCTGAACTATTAATGCAATTGGACAACACTATATTGAAGCAATGGTAGCAAATAGCTTCCTTGTTACACTTCTCTTCACAGATGAGCTCCTAAAATGGTCTTTGCCTGGTGTTTGATCATCTTGTCCATCATTTATCTAAGTATCTAACCAAGCAACTGATTGCCCGCAAAACTAAGAAGCCAGTGCTGTGCATTACAGCAGGGGGATACTTAGGAGCAATACATCAATTGCCTGCCTCATTGCCCACTCCTCAGACCAACAGGATCATCAGCTCTAGAAGTTGGAAAATCTCTCAGAGTGTTTCAAGATCCATTATTCTCTCTCAATGAATCATTTTAACAGAACTAGAAGGTAAAGGTTTGTTGTCCTGCTCAGCATTTGTCTCTTGGGGATGTCCATCTTTAATTTTTAAACACTGCTTGTACATGCGCTCAGCGTAAGGTTACTCTCTTAATGCAACCAATTAGAAAGAATTTCAAAAGAAAGAGAAAAATGGTTTTGACAAGAGGGTCAACACATGGACTATCAATTTCCAGCTTATCTGAAATGTAAATGTATTGCATCCATAGAACAAAGTATAAGAACCACAGTACATGTGCCTGAGCTTTAAAGGGGCAACCCAATGGCCCAGTGACCTGGAAGCCACCAACCATCACTTGTATTGGGTTGCTGTGAGTTTTTTTTAGCTGTATGGACATGTTCCAGTAGCATTCTCTCCTGATGTTTCACCTGCATCTGTAGCTGGCATCAAGGTCAGATGTGGGTGAAACATCAGGAGAGAATGCTACTGGAACATGGCCATACAGTTCAAAAAGCTGACAGCAACCCTGTGATTTTGACCGTGAAAATCTTCAACAACACATCACTGCCATTGAAAGGCATGATGTCTCTTAAATGGAGTAAGCAAAACAGCTGTCATGAATGGATTTCTCCTAAATGAATCTGCCTATTCCTCTTTTGAAGGCATTCACATTGGTGGCCATTAATGAACTACATAGTTTGATCGTGGGAAAGTACAGGAGGAATTTTCATTCATCCTGCTTTTTCAGTGAATGATGTAATTTCTAATACTGTAAGAGATCAAGAGTTTCTGGAATTTTGAAAGATGAGAGAACCTATCTTCCTGACCTTTCTCCCCGCTGTGCAGAAATGTATGTTTTCCCTTCAAGCCTGTCCTCGCTCACTTTTCCGCCTGACTCTTAGCCGAAGAGCCTCAAAACTTATAGTCTTTCCTCCTAGAGGAGCCCCCCCTCTTGTGCTGTTAAACTTGCAGTCTGTCTTTCAGGCCAAGATGCTACCTCAGATTTGTCAATTTTCCTTCCAAGGGGCAATCTTCACCCACTTCCCTTTGTCTCACACTCCTTCTTGACTATGAGTTGTTTGTAAGTCACAAATCACAGAATAATAGAGTTGGAAGAGGCCATACAGGACATCCAGTCCAACCCCCTGCCATGCAGGAAAAGCACAATTAAAGTACCCCTGAGAGATGGCCATCTGGCCTCTGTTTAAAAGCCTCCAAGGAAAAAGCTTCCACCAGACTCCGAGGCAGAGAATTCCACTGCTGAACAGCTCTCACAGTCAGGAAATTCTTCTTAATGTTCAGATGGAATCTGCTTTCCTGGAATCCATTGTTCCAAGTCTTAGCGCCCTTCCAGACAGGCCCTATATCTCAGGATCTGGTTCCAGGATTTCTATTTATCCCTGATTATCTCACAGTGCGGATTCATATAATCCAGTTTAAAGCGGAAAACCTGGGATCAGATCCTGGGAAAAAGGGCATGTCTGTAAGGGCCCCTAGTCTCCAGCTTCCTGTTCAGCTGTCATTTTACAACTCCTGCTTCTGCTGAGGAGACATGATGGCTATGTATAAATGTGAGGGGAAGTCATAGAAAGGACGGAGCAAGCTTGTTTTCTGCTTCCCTGAAGACTAGGACGCAGAACAATGGCTTCAAACTGCAAGAAAGGAGATTCCACCTGAACATTAGGAAGAACTTCTTAACGGCGAGAGCTGTTCAGCAGTGGAACTCTCTGCCCCGGAATGTGGTGGAAGCTACTTCTTTGGAGGCTTTTAAGCAGAAGCTGGATGGCAATCTGTTAGGGGTGCTTTGAATGCAATTTTCCTGCTTCTTGACCGAATGAGGTTGGAGTGAGTGGCCCATGAGGTCTCTTCCAACTCTAGGATTCTAGGAACATTTCAAAATATGTTTAAAGGCTGCTCCAGATGAACTAATGGTTCTTAACATGTGGGTTGCGGACCACCAGTACGCCTTGAAAATGAAAATCTGGTCCGTGAGCCTCATTCCTCTTTATTAATTTTATTGTTATATTTCCACTCCTTTCTTGATGCCTGCCACTCCTTCCCTGATGCTGACCATGGCACATGTTCTGTATCAGAAACTAGAGCCGATGTGGTCTATCCAATGCAATTTTCTTAACCAGCACCCCAAATAACCAAACTGAATCTAAAGTTGACCAAAAACTGATTTGTAACCCTATTGATAGTAATATGTTGGAAAGTGGCCCCTGATCAAAGTGGTCCCTGATTTAAAAAAAAAAAGGTTGGGAACCACTGCTTTAAAGGAAACCACTGCATACTATTAAGTGTTACTCACGTACTTGGTTACAGTTTCTCTTGGAAAATATATGTCAGAGTTTGACATAGTATCATAGAGTTGGAAGAGACCTCATGGGCCATCCAGTCCAACCCCCTGCCAAGAAGCAGGAATATTGCATTCAAAGCACCCCTGACAGATGGCCATTCAGCCTCTGTTTAAAAGCTTCCAAAGAAGGAGCCTTCACCACACTCCAGGGCAGAGAGTTCCACTGCTGAACGGCTCTCACAGTCAGGAAGTTCTTCCTAATGTTCAGAAGGAATCTCCTTTCTTGTACTTTGAAGCCATTGCTCCGTGTCCTAGTCTCCAGGGCAGCAGAATAAAGCTTGCTCCCTCCTCCCTATGACTTCCTCTCACATACATGGCTATCATGTCTCCTCTCAGCCTTCTCTTCTTCAGGCTAAATGGACAGTTTAGCTTTAAATGGAACATGTCAAAGTCAAGTGGTCCCTAGTCAAGTGGTTCCTGGCTGGGAATCACAGCTATACAGATAACAATTGACCTTAGGGTCCTTCCACACTGCCATATAATCCAGAATATCAAGGCCGATAATCCACAATATCTGCTTAGAACTGGGTTATCTGGGTCCATTCTGCCATATAATCCAATTCAATATGGATTTTATACAGTGGTGTGGAAAGGGCTGAAGAAACACCAAGACAATGTTGGGTGCAGGCTTCAGGCTAGGAGTAGAAGACTTTGAACTTCCAGCCACCTGTAGACAGCGCTGGGTGTCTGGCCTATGCTCTTAGCCTAAGGCCTCTTGTGGGATGAGGTGCCAGGAGTTCAGCCACCCAATGTCCAAAATGCTCACCCCAAAGAAGGGATAGTGTGAAACAGCCCTGTTAAGTCTGCATTTTTAAAAAGGCAGGAAGGAACTGAGGTTTGGCTTCAATGGATAACGGGTTCGGCTTCTGAGGGAATAGACTCAGATGCCAAAAAAGGGGAAGCATGGCTTGAAGGGAAGCAAGTTCAAGATGGCCTCTCCTTCTGAGGGAAAGGCACCAGACCTGAGGCGGAGGAGGGGGCCCTCCTTCCTAACCCCCCCCCTTTAAGGCCTCTCCTTCAGGTGTATAGGGCTCCATGGGGTGCCAAGGGATGCGGAGGCGCCTCAGCTTCCCAGCCCCCTTCCTTTCCAAGAGACCCCAAGAGGCTGCTCCCCGCATTCCGAGGGGTTGAGCTGAGATTCGGCACAAAGGATGGAGCCCCCTCCCCTCCTTCCCTCCCCAAGAAACCTGCAGGGCTGCCCCTCCTCCTCCTCCTCCGCGCCCGCCCCCCGCCTCCATCTGTCCCTCAGCTGCTCAGCCAGCGAGGGCGCTTGGCCATCCTGAGAGGCAGCCCCGCCACCGCCGCAACCCTTTGTCTGGCCGCCGACGCCTCCGCTCACCTGGGCAGACTGCTGCAGAGCTGCCCCGTCCTTCCCCCGCGGAGGAGCCTGGCCACGGGCCGAGCAGCAGTGAAGAAGCCCCTGCCTGACTGCCTGCCTGCCCGCCTGCCGCCGCAGCTCCTCCTCCCGCAGCAGGTAGACAGACAGGGAGGCCGCCTTGCTGATGCCCGCGGATTGCAGCAGCCCCCAGGCCGCCTTGTCCCGCCCCTCCCCTCCCGCCGGCGCCAATCAGCGGCCTCTTTGCCCCAGCCCCGCCCCTTCAGCAGCCTGGCGCGCGGGGCTCTGTCAAGGCGGCCCAGGTGCCAACCCGGCACGCGGCGCCCGGAGCCCAGGAAAAAAGGCGGGAGGGCGGCTGGGCGTGTGGGCGGGGCCAAGCGCGCGAGGAGAGCTTCTCCCCTGTCAGGAGCGCCTTTCCGCCTCTCCTCCCCACTTAATAATCTATCTATCTATCTATCTATCTATCTATCTATCTATCTATCTATCTATCTATCTATCTATCTATCTATCTATCTATCTATCTATCTATCTATCTATCTATCATCTATCCATCCATCCATCCATCCATCCATCCATCCATCCATCCATCCATCCATCTATCTATCTAAAAATGCTCTGTGCATAATGAGTAGCTTAAAAACAAAAGAACCAATAAACGAAATCACACCAAATTTGGCAATAAATGTTCCACAACACAAGGAGTGACCATCACTCAAAAAATTATGATTTTGTCATTTTGAAGTTGTAGTTGCTGGGATTTATAGTTCACCTATAATCAAAGAGCATTCTGAACTCCATCAATTGAACCAAACTTGGCACACAGAACTCCCATGACCAACAGAAAATACTGGAAGGGTTTGGTGGGCATTGACCTTGAGTTTGGGAGTTGTAGTTCACCTACATCCAGAGAGCACTGTGGACTCAAACAATGATGGATCTGGACCAAACTTGGCATGAATACTCAATGTGCCCAAATATAAATACAGATGGAGTTTGGGGGAAATAGACCTCGACATTTGGGAGTTGTAGTTGCTGGGATTTATAGTTCTCTTACAATTAATGAGCATTCCGAACTCCATCAACGATAGAACTGGGCCAAACTTCCCACACAGAACTCCCATAACCAACAGAAAATACTTAAGGCCATCCAGTCCAACTTCACCAGGGCAAGAAAATCTAATCAAAGCCCTCCTGACAAAGAGCCATCCAGTCATAGATAGAGATCTATATGATTCACACACAGAGAGATACAATATAATAGATTTGAAAGGGGCCGCTAAAGAAGGACAACGATATGTTGCATGTTCCAGAGTAGGCAAACCAGACACAACAAGAAATACCGTTTACCCACAAACAGAAAGAAATTGCATAGATTAGAAACCATTACTTTATTTTCCAGATCACTGCAACGCGTGGCAGGGGATGGCTAGTAATCTATATAAATAAAAATATATTGTCAGATTGTGGGATTAACAGAACTCAAAAACCACTGGGCAAATTGACACCAAATTTGGACACAGGACACCTAACAACCCAGTGTATGTCCTTCACTCATAAAAACACTGAAAAACACAACAGAGGGGACTTAAAAAGCCCCAAAAAGCTAAATGATGAAAAGCTAAATGACAATACAGAAAAAAGGGAAAAAAGAGGGGAGGGGAGGGGGGAAAAAGAAGAAAAGAAAGGAAAGAAAGAGGGAGGGAGGGAGGGAAAGAAAGAAAGAAAGGGAGAAGGAAGCACGGAAGCAAAGAGAGAAGAAAGGAAAGAAAGAGGTAGAGAAGGAAGAAAGGAGAGAAAGGGGGAGGGAAAGAAAAAGGGAGGGAAGGAAAGTTAGAGAAGGAAGGAAGGAGAGAAGGAAATAAAAAAGGGAAGGAAGGAAAGGGAGTGAAGGAAGGGGGGAAGATATAGAGAAAGAGGGATGCTTCTCCTCACTTCAGGGCCTAACACATGCTGGAGTCTCAAATATAAGTAAGATCTTCTGAAGCAGGTCAGTCCTGGAAAACAAAGTGAGAACAGGAGGCAAAACTGGTTTCTATTTTTATTGAAGCCTTATGTGGAGTTGTTATGGTAACTGCACATAAGGAGACAGAGAGAACAGTGCCCATCTTCCTTCTTATGGGTGTCCTCAAGATACAACATGCCTTGTTCTCAAAATTGCTAAAGTCAACATTATATGCTGTGGGTACACAATGTTATACTTGATTGGAAAAGCATCACATCAACAGCTAATCTGACAGTAGTTATCTTTTGTTATTTATTTTATTAATAGTATGTATTCTGCAGAACATATTATATAGAGGACATGCAATAGGTGGGATATTGCTCCACAGACTTGATGATATGTTAACTGTGGCCAGTTTCTCCTTTCCCTTCTTCACATTTATATATATATGTCTATGTCTTTATCTAAGTATTTATCTAACAATGATTTTCACAACAAAGATAGCACCAAAATGTGTTGCCTGTGATCAGCGTTGCCTGTCCTCAGGAAATGTGTTCCCTCTGAAGCTAGTTTTAGAAATTCTAAGTGCCAGCTTGTGATTGTGACAGTTTCTGTATCACACTCCTGTTGGGCTATTTAGGCAGGAGGACTGCAGATGCATCAATTTCTATGGTTACCTTGTTGATGTTTGCTATTAAGTACTTTCCAGCAATGGGTAACCTTAAGGCAAACCTAACACAGGCAATATTTCTTCAAAAGGAGCTTGCCATGCCCTTCCACTAAGATTGTGTGACTTGCCTGGTTGATTTGCATGGCTAAAGTGAGGATTTGAACCCTGCCTCCTAGTCCAACACTCAAACCACTACACTATGTTCTGTCATGCTGTTAATGAACAAAACGGAGAGTGGCAAACAGCCCTGTAAGTGTGATCTGAATAACTGAGATAGTGCTGAAGGGACAGCTCCTCATCAAAGGATAGTCACAGCTCTCTATTGCTGAGCGATAACTTTCCCAGGAGCCAAAAACCACCAGCAGTTTCTGAATCATTATGGGTTATTCAGAGGTGAGGAAATGCATTTTCTGCAAGACAGCTATATTTTTATCTACATATGAATTTGTGTTGCTTGGAAAATGCAATTTCCTCCTGCTCCTTTCTCCCCTCTGTTTAAATTCCATGTATAATATAACCATATTATACAATTGCTATGGGAAAATATTAGATCTTACATGTTGTCCTACTATACAATGTGATGGCAGACTTTGATATTGCCTTGTTTTTAACCCTCAAATGCTACTGTATATGAAGAAATATCATTTTTTTTTGTATTTAGAGTTTTGGAGTGACCCCTTGTATTCATCACCAAGCTGTTAAAGATTTTACATGGCACTTACTGACTGCTAGGATCTCTTCTTTTCCTTGTATTTTTCTATATGTGTGTGTGGCTGTTGAATAAGAGAGTGGAGATGAGATGACAGCATGGGCATTGACATATCTGCTGCCTTGTATGGGCAATGTAACATAATTAAATACACAATGTACAAATGTGTACTAGAAAATATTAGTTCTCAGAATATGCAAAAAATATCAATACTCGAGTAACAATCCCACAATATATAAATGAGCATATTTCAGGATCTTATATCAGGACTTAATAGATTATTAGGGCAGGGGTTCTCTAAACCCTGTCCTAATCCGCGGAGCCCTTTTGGAAGCAAAACTTTCTCATGGAAACTCAAGAAATGTTTATATACTATATATTATGTTGTGTGTGTTTTTTTATGTATAAAAGGAATGGGCCAGGTCTATGGCAGATGAATGGAGAATGTTTGCATAAACTAATTGCACAGTGCAAAAACAAAACAAAACAAAAACAAAAACAAAAAAAGAAGAGAAAAGAAAAAGGAAAGAAAGAACTATACAATATCGAAAATGAAGAACAATTTAAATCAATATAAACTTAACAGTATTTCAGTGGCATCCAGTCCAACTCCCTTTGGCCATGCAGGAAAAGCACAATCAAAGCACCCAAACAGATGGCCACCCAGTCTTTCTAATAATAATAATAATAATAATAATAATAATAATAATAATAATAATAGCAGAAACCCAGGAGGTCATCCAGTCCAACTGCCTTCTGCCAAGCAGGAAAACACAACAGATGACCACCTGACCTTTGTAATAATAATAATAATAATAATAATAATAATAATAATAATAATAATAATAATAATAGCAGAGGCCATCCAGTCCACTCCCTCCTGCCAAGTAGGAAAACACAACAGATGGCCATCCAGCCTTTGTAATAATGATTAATAACAACAACAATATCAACAACAACAGAAACCCCTAGGCCATCCAGTCCAACCCCCCTCCTGCCATGCAGAAAAAACACAATCAAAGTACCCCCTGAGCAAAGAAATGGAGGGGGGGGGGGTCTGGGCAGCAAGAAAAAGTCTGGGCAGCAAAGGAGGTGGGGGAGAAAGGATGCAGCTGCTGTTGTTTCCGACAGCTCAAAACTTTAATTTCCCTGCATTTCTCAGGAGGAGGAAAGAGGAGGAACCGGGAAGCAGCATGGTGCGACGGAACCCCTCACTATTACCCATGGAGCCCCAAGGGATCCACAGAGCACAGTTTGAGAATCCCTGTATTGGGGATAATCAAGCCCTTAGGAGTCCTTTTAGCTATACTAATTGTAAGCAAAATAACATGCATTCTAGAAGTATACATGATTTCAGTTTTCAACCTATTCTGTTCTGTTACCTGTTTCCTACTTCCATGCGATTATACAACCTTTAAAAAATACCCATTTAAGTTTATAAAACATCTATTTAATAGCTTATTAACTATTTTAAATTAAAGTTTGAAAAATAAAATGTAAGAGAGCACTGGGACTAATTAGGCTTGCCTTGGACATGCAGTAGACGCATAAAATGCGAGTGGTGTTTTGATATTATTTGTCTTTAAAAAGAATCTGCAGCCCTCTTTTTAAAATATATATAGAAAAAGAATATAAACAGCTTTTAATTTAAAAGTTATATACATAACGTATAGTCACCACAAAAAGAATTAAATCAATTAATGTTGACTTCCCCAGGGGACCCCAGGGGAGTTCTTCAGAGCTATCCATTTTTCATGTGTTTTCAGAGCCATTGATTATTTTACTTGGTCAGAGTCCAGCATAATATTCAGGCTGGACAAAAAGCATTAAGATATCGCTTCCATTAAAATATGTTTTCCCTTTTCA